TTGGTTATCAACCAAGACTTCCCTAATTGCACATATCACCTACAAACCATTGTTGCTCTCCATTTGCCATATTCGGTCGTGGCAAATTTTGGAGCCCTCCTTGCAGCCATGAGCACTGAGCAGAAAGCAAAAATCTGTAAGTGACCTATGCTGTAACACTCAATTGCTATATTTTATTTTATTTTTTCATTTTATTTCAGATATTAATGGTACCTAAACAGTTCAGTTCCTAGTGGAATTAGTCAAGTTGCTGAAAATAAATCTAATGGATGTGGGTATGGATATTCTCTTAGAGGTATGTTTATCTATCTCATTTTTGTTCATTGAACTTGAAATTCTTGCAATATCACTTACTACGGTGTTGCACAGTCATTTGCATCTCTTTGCATGTTTATAATTTTGTGATAATTATTGCAACGAACCTTCAATGATGAAGAGTTCATTGATGGGTGTTGAAGAGAAAATTAGTTTAGAAATTGGGGACCGGTCATTTGCTTTCTCTCTCTTTTTGGGTTGATGGGCCTCAAGAATACCAATTACTGAGCCTTCAATCATCAATGACTCCCAATAAAATCAAACAAAATTTCCTTAAAAAATCGCATAAAATAATACATTAATTTTTACTTAAAATAATCATCCAATAATTCTATAGAATTCAACCATTTGGAGCATTTGAAGTCGAAATTAAAACTTCTCACCCGTAAAGAAATTGAAATTAATACCATTGGTTAATTCAATAAGTGGAGATGAGATACTTGGAGGGAATTGACAAGAGAAAACAGAGGAACCTCTTCTTGCAAGGTAGGGCGATCCACAATGGCGTTGGATTGGAATATCGATTAGACGATAATAGATTACAAAGTGCATCAAGTACTAAAACCCTAAAAAAACTAGCGAGAGAGAACTAAAATTCACAAAATGAAACGGAGAAGAGAAAGGGCGAGAACAGAGTAACCTCTACTTGCAATGTAGAAGAACCACAACAACATTGAAATTCCAGTCAGAGCACATTGTGCTTACAAACCTAAATTCCCACTGTGAGAAAACTAAGATCCAGAGTTGGAAATAGAGAGAAAATTTCGCTATTATGGAAAAGCGCAGGAAGGGAAGTGTATGCAAGAGAATACTTAAACTATTCAAGTCTTAAAGTTAAGCTATTTATAGAAGCAATTAATTTCGGACAATATCAGACTACAGGTTTATTTCGTGGGCTGCTTTTTGAGCTCAGCCCAGTCCAAATTACAAATTTGTCCACATCAGCTTATGGGTTTTCCATATCATACTCACTCGGCCCATGAGACCAGCCCAAAAAGTAACCTCTCCTCTTTCCATTTTTCATCCCATGTGTATTTCGTTTTTTTTTTTCTAACAAAATGTTGATTTTTAACGTATTAGTGGGATGATGATTTTAAAAAATCTAAGTATGCTTAAATTTCTTTCTTTCAAAATTCACTCATTCTACCATCACTCTCAAACACACCCACAAAAGGTATTATTTTTTACAGAAGTCTCCGATAGAACTTAGACTAGACTTTGGTCGGACAATGATAAGTTGATTCGCTTCTGAGATGATGTTTGGCCGTGCCACTCTCCTCAGAGATGCATGCCATAATTCTATCAATTCACGAGCTTCTCATGATCTCAAAGTGATAGACTACAACATTGAAAAAAGGATTTATCTCCCTATGAAACTGCCCATCCAAGAGCATTTGGCTTCATCATACTTTTTTTTCTTTTTTTCCTATGGCTATGGACATACTTTTTTTTCTTTTTTTCCTATGGCTATGGACAACTAGGATAGATATTATCTTCCAGTCCAAAAAAGGAGGAGAATCTCTTTTGCCAGCTCAATCCTCACGATAATAATTATGTATGCTAATTTTGCCTAAAAATCTCTTGAGGTGATCAAGGACCCCTTTTCAAGATGAAATTAGGACAAAAGTATATTATGATACCATAAAAATCAAAATTAAATTGATTTTAAATTTTCTAAAATTAAAATTTTTAATTTGTCAAACCTTATCAATGGATAGAAAAGTGATTTTAACCTAGATAAAGGTGATTTTGGCCATGCAAAAATCACTCTCAAACACACCGTAAATATGAAAATATAGGGACAAAAAGTATTTTCTGATCAAAAAAAAAGAAAAAGAAAAAGAGGGATGGAAAAGGAAAAGGAAAAACGGCGAAAAGAAAAGATGAGTTAAGGGCATTGATGAAGAGCGGTTAGCTTGGAAAGTTGATGTAAGTCGTCGTGGATAATGTCAGAAAACGGATCGAGGAAGCTTATAGACAAATATTTCAAGTTTGGTTAAATGGAGATTTAGACAGTTTACGCACAACTCGAATTTCTCACACTAAGTTTACGGTACATATTTAGTGACGAGTTTATCTTAGGCTACAATTGTGTTTCAAAGATTATGTGCTAAAAGATCTCTTAATATTAAACCTTTCAAATTTTCCTTCTCTCATTACCTGAGTGCCATGTATTTGATTTTTGAGAAATTGGTCATTTAGAGGTGTGTTGGGATCATCAAATCAATTATATTTAAAGTGATTAAAATAGTTTACAATGTCGTCATCATAACTTATAGTCTGAACATTTTAACAAAAACATGAGATGTCTCAATTTATTCTCTATAATTATCAAGAAACACATAGGATATCATATTTAATGCGATGGTGTAAGTTTAGTAAAGGACAAAACTAACTTACGAGGATAGGTGAGAAGCATGTCTCCATCTCATATTATTTTTCAGAGAAAAAGCAATTAATTTAGATCAAAATGAAGCAATAGATTTTTCTAAAAAACACAATCTGTATTGAAGAATTAAGTAGGACAAACCCTCTTATCTAAACGAATCTGAACTTTTATGTTTATCTATTTTCATCTCTTTTAAAATCACATATTATTATTAAAATATTTATATTTTATTATATGATTATTTAAGATCGGATCAAAGATGTGATTGCAGAAAAGAAAAGATGATCCTTTTTCCACTTCTTTGTATTTAATTTGAAATTGAAATTCTTTGTCTAAATAATACTCTCCTACACATAAGATCGATCAGAAATACCTTTAATAATATAGATAATCAACTTAATCAACTTTTAATTTTATATAGGATTAGGTGGTGAGTGGTTTGGTTAATCTACTTTTTTAACATTTTTTTTATCAGAGCATATTACTTTAATTATGTCCATGACCAAATCCAGAAGACTTTTTAACATATTTTTGAGCTCATGCTCTTGTTCTCTAGCCTTGGAAAACAGCTGCTGAATGGCTCCACCGGCGGTGGCCAGCGTCAAAACCATAGCTGAAACACCCAACTTAGCCTCCATTCCTTCCTCTTACATCTTCTCCGCCAACGATGGTGCTGCCAAGGCAGCTCCACGAGGTGTCGAAGATTCGATCCCCACCATTGATTTCTCTCTTCTCACCATGGGTACTCCCGATCAACGAGCCAAAGTTGTCGATGAGCTCGGCAAGGCTTGCCAGGACTGGGGCTTCTTCGTGGTACGTAAATGTTGTAATTTTGACTTGATTTTAGTTCATGTTTCTTATCTTAAAAGTTTCAATTTGGTTTCGTCCTATCTTTTACCCACTTGAAAAATTCACCTATTTTCTCGTATTTAAATGTTACGTATTCAATATGTTAGTGTGAAAGACAATTGATGAGACTTGACTAAACCATAGAAACCGAATCGGAACTCTTAAAATTACAGACACCCAATTGAAAACATGCCCAAAACATACTTAAAAACGATTTTTTCTTTCTCAAAAGAAAACCCATTTGCAACAGAGATTAAGGGAGTGTGAGAGTGAGAATGCAGGTGATGAATCATGGAGTGGAGGAGAGGGTGATGAGGGAGATGATAGATATTTGCAGAGAGTTTTTTGATCTAACAGAGGAAGAAAAGACAGAGTACAAAACAGAGCATGTTCTTGACCCCATCAGATATGGCACCAGCTTCAATCCTCAGAAAGAGAAGGTGTTGTTCTGGAGAGATTACTTGAAAATCTTTGTTCATCCCAAATTCCATTCCCCAACTAAACCTCCAAGATTCAGGTGATGCTGAAATGATCTCAATGATTCTCTGTTTACTCTGTTTCTCAACTAATAGTGTAATATGTAATGTGCAAATCTGGTTCTGTTTCTTTTCATCGTGGGATCTTTAACATGTCTCTCAAGATCGTGCCTCTTTTGGTTCATCAATCTTATCCGAATTCTCATTTTTGAACCGTGTTTGTTTAAGTTTGTTGGACTCTGATACCATATCAATATTCATAAGGTTTCATCTCAAAACCAATTGGTAATGAGATGAATAACTCATGTCCATTATAAACCTTTTAAGGTCCCATTTTTTTCAACGTGGGATTCTGAGCAAATCTAAACTAATGGTGGGTTGCAGAGAGATATTGGAATGGTGGGTTGCAGAGAGATATTGGAAGAATACTGCAAAAGAAGCATAGAAATGGCAAGAGAATTGGTGAGAGGAATCTCAGAGAGCTTGGGACTGGAAACCTGCCATCTAGAGAGAGCAGTAGATTTTGAATCGTGCTCAACTCTGTTTGCAGCAAACTTTTATCCACCATATCCACAGCCAGAGCTTGCAAGGGGTTTGCCATCTCACTCTGATCAGTGCCTTCTCACTCTTCTTCTTCAAAACCAAATTTCTGGCCTTCAAATCTTGCATCAAGGGAACTGGGTGGATGTCAATCCCATTCCCAATTCATTTCTGGTTAATGTAGCTGACCAACTTGAGGTACACATCCATTTTGTCCTTTTTCTTTTGTTTAATTATGCCGAGAATACGTTCAAAAGATTAAAATTTTGTCATGGGTCTCGAATTAGTATTCGAGTCCTAATCTAAGGAAGAAAACTTTAAAAGATGGGAGGATTTGAATCTCTGACCTTTAGGGAGGTAAATAATACTTGACGAGTTGAGTTTGTTTTCTTGGTATGATAGATCTTGAGCAATGGGAAGTACAAGAGCGTTTTACACAGAGCAATGGTGAACAATAAGGCCACAAGGTTGTCTATAGCCGTGGCAGTTGGGTCATCACCTGAAACAGTGGTTAGTCCTGCACCTCAGTTGCTGAATAAACTCACCAATCCTCCTTTGTTTAAGCACATCAAATACACAGATTATATGCAAATGGTGCAGAGCAGCAATCTCCAAGATTCCTGCTTGGATCGAATTCGTCTACTTTGAATCTCGATCTCTCCTACCTACTCAATAGGGAAGTATTCCCGTACGTATTTTATTATCTTATTTGTACTGTTTTTGATAGATAAGTGTATTCGTTAGAGTTCTCTTATTCGGTGATCACTATGACATTTAAAATCTTTGGTATAATTGCATTTGACAAAGGCATCAATTGCCATATTCTTTTCTACCATGTTCATCGATTGCAATAATCTGCACAAAAATTACTTGCAAGAAATTCTTCAAAAAATATATATAAATAATGTTAAATCTTATGTTTAAAATGTATGTTCAAATTATTCCTTTCATTATCTATAAAAAATATTATTCCTTTGATTTTGAGTTTGGATTGATTTAGGCCCGTAATGTGTTTGCTTCCTTATTTCCTGTTTCCTGTTTTTCAATTTACAAAAATAATATTGTTTTTGGTAACTTTTTCCTATTTCTTACCTTTTTTTATTTAAAAACAAAAATATATTTGATAACATTTCTTTTTTTTTCTCTCTAAAATTTTAACTTAGTTTTTTTTTTCATTTTCAAGTTAAATATTAAAAAAATTTATATTATATTTATTATACAAGTCAAAAATAATAAAACAATATTTTTATCTATGTTTTAGGTAAACAAATTAGAAATAGAAAACTTGATTTTACTGTTTCTAAAATTTCTATACAATTCTAAAACATTTCTTAACGAGAAACGACAAACAAATTATAGAACTCCTCATTTTTTAAACATATATAGGATTAGGTGGTGGGTAGTTTTGTTAATCAACCTTTTTTTCTCTACGTTTTGTTAAGATTAGCATAGTACTTAAATTATGTCCAAATGACCAAATCCAGAAGACTCTTGTTAAACATATTTTTGAGTTCAAACTCTTGTTCTCCAGCCTTGTAAAACAGCTGTTGAATGATTCCACCGGCAATGGCCAGCATCAAAACCATAGCTGAAACACTCAACTTTGCCTCCATTCCTTCCTCTTGCATCTTCTCCGGCGACGGTGGCGCTGTCGATGCAGCTCCACAAGGTGTTGGAGATTCGATCCCCACCATTGATTTCTCTCTTCTCACCACGGGTACTCCCGATCAACGAGCCAAAGTCGTGGATCAGCTCGGCAAGGCATGCCAGGACTGGGGTTTCTTCATGGTACGTAGATGTTGGGGTAGAGCTAGAAATTTGGTAGGAATGATTAAAGCAATTTGGTTTTATAATTTTCACTTAATTTTTACTTCATCTTTCTCATCTCAAAGTTCTAATTTGATTTTAGCGTCCCATCTTTTACCCGCCCAGAAAATTCATCCATTTTTTTGTATCTAAGTGTCATGTATTCAATATGTTAATGTAGAGACAATTGGTGAGACTTGACCAGGCAAACGGAATCGAAGCTCTTAAAATTATAGAGGCCCAGTTGAAAACAAGCTCATGACAAAACTAAGTACTTAAAAACTACTGTTTCTTTCTCAAAAGAAACCCATTTGCAATAGGTGATGAATCATGGAGTGGAGGAGAGGATGATGAAGGAGATGATGGATATTTGTAGAGAGTTTTTTGATCTAACAGAGGAAGAAAAGACAGAGTACAAAAACAGAGAATGTTCTTGACCCCATCAAATATGGCACCAGCATCAATCCTCAGAAAAAGAAGGTGTTGTTCTGGAGGGATTACTTGAAAATCTTTCTTCATCCCAACTTCCATTCCCCAACTAAACCTCCCAGATTCAGGTGATGCTGAAACGATCTCAATATTCTTTGTTTGTTCATATCCATGAGGTTCTATCTCAAAATCAATCGGTTAAGATCGTGACTCTCTCTTGATTCATCAATCTTGATCGAATCTCATTTTTCACTAGATACTCATTATTAGTAATGAGAGGAATAGTTCATGTCTATTATACACTTTTATTATAGGTTCCTTATTTTTTTAATGGGGGATTCTTAACCGTTTAATCTGTAACATGTAAATCTAAAATATTGGTTGGTTGCAAAGAGATGTTGGAAGAATACTGCAAAACAACCATTGAAATTGCGAGAGAATTGGTGGGAGGAATCTCAGAGAGCCTGGGGTTGGAAACCTGTAATCTAGAGAGAGCAGTGGATTTTGAATCGTGCTCAGTTTTGTTTGCAGCAAACTTTTATCCGCCATGTCCACAGCCAGAGCTTGCAATGGGTTTGCCATCTCACTCTGATCATTGCCTTCTCACCCTTCTTCTTCATAACCAAATTTCTGGCCTTCAAATCTTGCATCAAGGCAACTGGGTGAATGTCAATCCCATTCCCAATTCATTTCTAGTTCATGTAGCTGACCAACTAGAGGTACAAATCCATTTTTCCTTTTTCCTTTTTTTTAGTTAAGGTAGAAAGATTTAAATCTCCGACCTTTCCGGAGGTAGGTAAGTAATAATTGATGAGTTGAATTTGTTTTTGGGTGTGGTAGATCTTGAGCAATGGTAAGTACAAGAGCGTTTTGCACAGAGCAACGGTGAACAATAAGGCCACAAGGTTGTCTATAGTCATGGCAGTTCGGCCATCACCTGAAACAGTGGTTGGTCCTGCACCTCAATTGCTGAATAAACTCACCAATCCTCCTTTGCTTAAGCACATCAAATACATAGATTATATGCAAATGGTGTATAGTAGCAATCTCCAAGATCCAACGCATTTGTCTACTTTGAATCTCGATCTTTATCGTATGTGTTTTTATTAGCTTATTTGTACTGTATTTGAGAGATAAATGGATCCTACTAAAACATTTTAGTCAATAAAAATACACCACGTCAAAAAGTTAGTAGAAATGTATTTATTAGAGCTTTCTTATTCCTCGATCACTATGGACATTTAAAATCTCGGGTGTGATTACATTTGACAAAGGCATGAATTGCAATATTTTTTCTACAATGTTTATTTAAAAGGGAAAAACTARATGGTGTATGTAAAATAAATTTGCATTTAAGGTTGGGCAACAATATTTAGTTACAAAAACATTCATGAACATGATTTGCAGAGCCCGCTGCTTCTTCCATCTTTCTCATCTTCACCTCATTCAGAACATTCTTAGCCCACTCAGAAAACTGTGTTCTATTGTATCTGTTTAACATCAACAACAAAAATAAATATACGAAAAATTTTCTATTTTATTCTCTATTTTGATTATAATCGTAAATATATTCAAATTTATAGACAAACTAGACGTATACTCACATTTCAATATAAATGCATATAATAATCTTTCATTCGAAGCTCAGGTAACGGGTAAAAGTTTAGAGATGAAAATGGGATTCTAAAATAGAAGCGTACCCGATGGTGCCACTTTTATAAACGGACATGCAACGACGGTCGTGTTCGGGATAGGGACAGGCGGGGCCATGAGGGTCTCTCCAATCACCTTGATGCGTCATTCCAGACCAGCTTGCGAGCCAACGGAACACGAACTGGCCAATGCCTGCAAGCTTGAGCCATCCTTTGGGGAAAAACTCCATAACACTGCTGTTTCTGTCCATTAGAAACAGGTTTGTCAACTGTGCTCCATGTGGGGATACCAATATGTCTGTCTTCCCCATCAAACTCACCTGTTTTTTTCATTTGCATTTGCATTTGCATTTTCATCAGCATAAATGAAAGCAAACTTAGAAGTATGATCATATGAAACYATAGTTTTAATTAATTTTTTTTTATATACTTCTAACACACAGACACTTCATTTTGGGTACGTGTCGTGTTGACACTCTTACATTCGTATACTTAATAGTTTAATAGACGCATGTCACACGTACTRGTCATATCAAACACACTTACTCAACATAAGAAATTGACATAAATAATAGTATAGGACAAAATAATAAACTTTGAGAATAAAATATATCAAATTCATTTTTTTAATACATAAAAATGCATAAGTTTATTGACTTTGAATTTCCTTCCTAAAAAATGGTATATTTTAACAAACTTGTCCTTGCTATGTCGGTGTCTTAGATTTTTAAAAAATAAGGTGTCACCGTATCCATGTCGTATATATCTATGTCTCGTGTCTTAGATTCTAACTATATAAAATAAATATTTCATCATCTACAAATTGTTAAAGTTTTTTTTCCCCTTTTCAAGCTTAAAGTAGATGTCAATAACTAATGAGTTACATTCGAGTACTTATTATTTTGAAAAAAAAAAATCTAATCCAAATATAGCTCAAGTGAATACCTGATCACAAAAGGTTAGATTATTCGAGTGAGTTACAGTAAGGTGGCAACCGGGGACTTTATCACATTCCTCTCCAAATATCTTGACCACCGCGGTTTCGTTCTTAAACGACCTCGCCCCTGTTCTCATGAGCAGTGTCATCCCCACCGCCGGTGATGGCTCAGGCGAGGTGACGTTGCAGAACAACCTGGCCTTGCATCTCATCAAGTCGTAGGTTTCCATTCTCCGCTGTCGGGACATTCCTCCCTCGTTGTGCCTCATCACCACCGCCTTCTCGAAGCACACCGCCTGCCCCTCGCCGACGCCATGGAAGGCCTCGATCTCTGGTGGCCGGCCGAAGGTGGCCTCCATTAACGTCATCAGCCATGTCGCCATCCACACCCTCACCTCCCCCCAATGGTACAAGATCCATCTCTCCGGAGCCTCACAATTTCCTAAACCATGAATAAAAATCCAAATCAACCACTGAAAATCATGTGACGAAATTTTGGTTTTTCTTAGGTGAAACGTTTCTTTTTTCTTCATTTTCTGTTTCTACTTTTCTACTTTTATACTTTTATATAGGGTACCCTCTTTTTTTTTTTTTCTTTTTTTAGATTTTGAAAAATATCTTACTTTGTTAGATGCAATATGAAAGTTTATGGAGCTGTAATAAACACTTATGACACTATATTTAAATGTTAGGACCCAATTAGATAAAGTTAATGAACTTATTATTAAACAAAACTCTAAAAATTTACATGTAATTTAATTTTAATTTTAAATAACAAAATCTAAGTTTTGCGGGTTAGACTACAACTTTGGTCCTTTAAACCCTCAAATTTATGCCAGTTTAGTTTTATACTTTCAAAACATAACATCTAATTTTAGACATAATCATTCATAAATTTTTGTTTTTTAATTTAACAGGGGAAAGTAGGAAATCGAATCATTAATCTTAAGGACTTGAGTACCGTACTAAATGTTAAATCAATAAAATTACCTCGAGCTCATAACCTACCTGGAAAGGCTTTAGTTAAAACAATTTGAAAATATTGGAACCAAATAGGGAAAAAAAAAACACCACAGGATGGAGTAATTAATTAAACTAAAAAAAGAACTAATGAATGGAATAATCGAAAAGCAACGTTGGAAAAGTGGCGTTTACCTTGAATCTGGTGCCAAGCAACGAAGGGCATGAGAGCGGACAAGCCATGCCAGATGTTACCATAATCGTAATGGTTGTAAGAAACAAAGGTCAAGCCTTTTCTAAACGTGGCGTTTTCCGGCAGAGCTTCCGGCCAGGCGACGGCGTAGTAGTTCCAGGAGCCGTCGTGGGCGTCGCGGCCGCCGAGGCAGAGGAGGCGACCGTCGGAGGCCGGCGAAGGGAACTGCTGGAACTGAACCTCCCCCTCCTCGTGGGTGTCGTACATGGAGCTCATGAACCACGTGTGCCCCTCGAGAGCTCTGTGGGAGTAACGCAAGTCCTTGAGGGGCAGAAACGTGACGGAGCGCCGGAGCTGCTCGGCGGCGGAGGGTGCGGCGGCGTGGAGGGATCGGATGTGGAAGAGGGTGAGGAGGACGGCGGAGGTGGAGAGGAGGAAGATGAAGAGCTTTTGAGAGAGAATTGAATTGATTGATTTTCTTGGGTGTGGCTTTTGGATGGCCATTGATTTGATTTTCTAATTGGAGAGAGGAGAAGAAATTGAAGTGGGGATTTTTGGATCAAGATCATCAACTTTGGCTTTGGGGTCACCTAGTTTTTGAGTTTTTTTCTTCTTTTTGTGCCTCTCTCTCTCTCTACCCACTACTTTGAGTTGGAATGAAGAGGGTAGGGAGAGGAATTTCAACTTTTTGGACTTCCAAAAGCGAAGAGATCAAGAGATTGTGATTAAGTTGAACTCCCACTCATAGATAATTAAATTAATATAAGATGGTTAAGATATTATAACATCTATTAAAATGTTAGAGGATCGATCTCCCCTCTCAACAAAAATTTTGGTTCAATTATTGAGTTAAGATATTAAAATAACCTCTGACTTCGAAATTTCGAAATTTCTAAAAAAAATGGTTGGAATCCTTTTTAACTTTTGAACTCATTTTAGTTTAGTTTGATTTTTTAATTTTATCTAAAAGAATTTTTGTGTGTGAAGTTTAAGAACCAAAACAAATATATATAGCGTGAATGAAGTCTAGTGGTAAGACGTGGTCTCTACCTTTCTTACTTCATTCTATATTGTTTGTGATTAATATTTTAAAAGATGTAACCAAAACAAAGTATTATAAAGGCTGAGAAACTTGAATAGGAAAAAAAAATTAGTGGCTCAATGGAAGAGCGTTGGTTATTTGGTATGTTCTTGAAGATTCTTCTTTTTGAGATCTTCAAAAAAATACATATTATATATATATTTTGGGTTTAGTGGTTTGTGAATCTCAAGTGGGATTCACATGTATTATTCAATCCTGATGACTCACATGTATTATTCAATCCTGTTAATGACTTTGGTTGCATGCTCTTTTTCTTTAAATTATATTTTATCCTTTTTTATTTTAAGTTTGATAAATAAATTTGACAAAGTAACAGGATAATGTCAAATCACTTGTTATATCGATATCGAATTTAAAATATACGAAAAATATTGATATGTTGATAAAAATTTAATAACAGACTCAACCAATGAAAAATAAAGTGATGACAATATAAGATTGTGAATGATTTACGAAAAAGATGATAGCTTTTAATTTAATGCATAGGGGCTGAAAATGAGCAAATGGAGTTGAGATCCCAAAGCAACTTTGGAAAAGAAAAGTGAAAGTTTTGAGTAATTTGGGGGCATTCCCCAACTTTTAAGCAACAATAAATTACTTGTAAGAAATTCTTAAAGGAAAAAAAAAATATATATATATATATTTATATATATATATAATATAGTGTAGAATCTTATTTTTAAAATATATGTGTTCAGATCATTCTTTTGATTTTGAGTTTGGTCTTTCGATTTTTAGTTTGGTTTGATTTAGGACAGTAATGTTTTTATTTTTTATTTCCTGTTTTTTGTTTTTCAATCTAATAAAATAAAATTGGTTTTGATAAATGTTATTTCTTGTTTCCTGTCTTGTGTCTTTTTTTTGAAAAAAATCAAAAATATATTTGGTAACATTTTTTGTTTGTTGTTTTCTAGAATTTTGATTTAAGAAAGGTAAAAGTTTTACATGAAAGTTTCTTTTTTTTTCAAATTAAATATTAAAAAAATTTATGTTATATTTATTATGCATTTAATATATCAAAAATAATAAAATAATGTGTTTATCTATGTTTTGGAAAAAAAAAATTGGAAACAAGAAACTTGATTTTATTTTCCAAAATTTCTACACAATTTTAAAATACGTTTCTCTTGAGAAACAAGAAACGAGATCCCTTATCAAACACTTATATTTTTAAAAATTTGAAAGTAGAAAATAAAAAACTCAAATTAGCGGTTAGTCTTATAATTTTCAAAATTTCATTTTAAAACAGTATTCTTATAGGCTGGCTACAAGTGGTTAAAACTATTTCCAACATGACATATTTTGACCATAAATAAATTGACGTTCAACTAATGATGTGTGAATAACAAAGGGCTTGATATATACACTTGAACAAAATTTTCAAACATTGAAAACCAATTTTTCTAACATTGTTACAAGCCATGTGCATGAGCAACACGTACGAGTCAGGACCCAGCTCGTGGGGCCGTAACCCAAGCCTAAGCCCATATGCAAGCCCAACCAACCCAAGGCCAAATCAGCCCAAGAGCAGAGGTACATGGACTGATCAACCTTTAGGCTCGACAATTCTTCAATTATTAACTA